GGGATTCATGCAGGAGTTGAGGATGGGAGAGTTGGAAGGGGTTGACCTCAGCGAACCTACCTCAATCAGATTGAGGACGTTTTTAGCAAAGGCCAGTTTAGGAGTACCCTAATTAAGTTAATAACAATGTACCTACCTGTATAGTTTAAGTTTAAAAAATTTGGCTCTCAAAAGAAATTTCAATTGTTGTACTGTTGATATTTGGCTCTGTTGTCTAATGAGTTTGCCGACCACTGACTGACCTAGGCGATTCTGACATAGACTAATGTTTGAGAGTCTCTGCCTTAAGCCTTTCTCTATCAATATTCTAAATAGATTACTTGTTAGCAGAGAAATAAGTTTTGTGACAAAAGAGTACTAACACATATCATAACACAGATTTCTCTAACCACGCAGTTTTGTCAACTTCTAAAAAATAGGGCCCTAGCTGGTTTGGCTCAGTGGATAGAGCATCAGCCTGAGGACTAAAGGGTCCCGGGTTGGACTCTAGCCAAGGGCACGTGGCAGGTGGGATGGAGGGATTTGCAGGCTCGGTCCTCAGTAGGGGGCGTGCAGGATGCAGCCAATCAATGATTCTCTCTCATCATTGATGTTTCAATCTCTCTCTCCCTCTCCCTTCCTCTCTGAAATCAATAAAAAAATTTTTTTAAAGAGTAGCACCCTTGAAGCTTATACTGTGGTTTTGTTTTGTTTTGTTTTGTTTTGTTTTTTTAAATAGAGATTCCAGCTCAATGGTTCTCCAAGTGCAGTCCCGGTAACAGCAGTATCAGCATCACTTGGGAACTTGTTAGAAATGAAAATTCTCAGCTCTCACCTACTAAACCAAAAGTTCTGGTGTTGGGGCCCAGCAACCTGGGCTTTAACAAGTCCTCTAGGTAGTTCTGATGTAGGTAAAGTTTGGGAATCATTGCTGTATTCTAACTCTATTACAAGTGCAACATTACATAAAGTGACACGTAATTTTAGGTCGGTACACTGAGATTTTTAACATACATGTGAGTCAATTCTCCAGTTTGCATGCAAGGAGGGGAAAGCTCCCAATTTGGCTATTTTTATCAACTATATTTAAATTCTTTAATCTTCTTTAGCCCCCTCTGCTAACTTGGGCAAATCACTTCTTTTTTAAAAAATACATTTTATTGATTTTTTACAGAGAGGAAGGGAGAAGAATAGAGAGTTAGAAACACCCATGAGAAAGAAACATCGATTAGCTGCCTCCTGCACACCTCCCCACTGGGGATGTGCCCACAACCAAGGTACATGCCCTTGACTGGAATCGAACCTGGGACCTTTCAGTCCACAGGCCGATACTCTATCCCCTGAGCCAAACCGGTTAGTGCAAGCAAATCACTTCTTATGTCTGCCTAAATCATCCCAGTCCCATAAAATAAAGGAGTGCCTGTACTTTTTATTGCAATCCTTTCCAGCACTAACTTTTTGTTATGCTTTCACATCAATATGAATCCATAGCCAAGTTGTCATTAGAATAGCAAGGAGATATTAAGAAAAGGCTAACTTTCCAAATAGACTAGACTAGAAAGAATAAATCAGGCATATATAAGACCAAGAAGCGCTAGTGGACCAAAAAAAAAAAAAATTCTCTAAAGATTCTCTAGGGAAATGTAGTCTTCTTGCTTATATAAATTCTGTGTAAATTAACAAAGAACAGGTAAAGCCAGAGGATAAATAATAAATGAAGATTAACATTGATTTCTTGAGCTTTGGGTGACTCAAACTGCTTAAATCATTTGCATGAAAGACCTCGGGTCTTCACCACTGGGTTTCTTTGGTGAAAACAAACTTGCCAGTGAGACTGCATCTTGCCTTTCGTGATTAACCATGCTGCTTGTAGAATGCTTTCACAGGCGTTAAGTCACTTGCCTCACATTAACCCATCCACATCAGTGACATTTTCCCTATTTTACAAATGAGCAAAAGGAAGCCATGGGAGGAAATTAGTTACTTAAGGTCAGGAAGATCAAGTGTTGAATGACAGGACTAAGATCAGATCAATGTCCTTAGCTTTCCAATCCAGTGTTTCTTCCACTGCTTTGCCTTCAGATCTTAGGTGGGTGGCGGGGAGATCAAGGTGGACCAGCATCCTACTTTCTTCCTTCTTATTCATTTTCCTTCCTAATTCTCCTCAGCTTCCATTCCCTCAAGCTGCTGTAAAAGGGCACTAGGCTTGATGTCAGGAGATTGAAATTCTAGTCCTGGTTCTGCCACAGAAGGAAGGAATGAGAAGGAGCAGACAAATGAGAATAATTCCAAAAGGAAAAGAGGAAATAGGTCTATGAGAGTCAGAGTAAATATTTAGGGTGTGAAGTTAAGATAGGCTGAGTTAGACTCTTCCCTTTGACCTTCCCTGAACTCTGAAAGAAAGCTGAGGCGGTGTGATTCCCGAAAGCTCAATATTTTGACCTCTCAATTTTGTTTTGGTCAAAGAAATGAAGATGTGGAATACAGACTGTTGTGGGATCATAGGATCAATGCATTTGAGCATCTCTCATGTACATCTAGCCCTACTTATTCTGAAATGTCTGAATTCTGATTCCACTCTACTGCCAAACAAATAATTTGCTCTCTTGCTAGAATCTGAGAGTCAAAAGTGTGTGAAAGTTCAAACATGGTCAGGAATTTTTTTAAATGAATCAATGTGGCAAAATTGGTGGCTTTCTCTTCACTGCCTGCTAAAGTCTCAGAAATCCTTATCTATCTATATCATTCAGTTACTGCCTTTCACGGTGTTTAGAGGCATGCTAGCCTAGTTCCTTTATCTTTGCCTATATGCCTGTCTGTGTCTTTTCCTCTTCCAGGAAATTCAGAAAGAAACGATTCATCTGCATTCCTGTCCTAACACACACCAGCTTATCAGCAGTTATCAAGTCCAGCATCGATTTCTGAACAGAGTATAGAAAAAGTTATTTGCAGAGCAAATGTGGTAAAACTATAAACACAGAAATGGACAAGTGAGGTAGTGTAGAGTAAAGCTAGAAGGGAAAAAGACAGAGCTGATATTTCAGAACACTGAAAGATTAGGGAAAGGGATTAAAAAAAGTGAGAGAGTGGGAACAGTAGACTGCTTTAGAAATTCATAGAGAGCATGGTGGTTTACAAAATCAGTTCAGTGGTTTTCAACCAGCATTTTTAAAAAAATGCTATGCAATAAAAAGGGGGAAAGTAATTTAAAAAACAAAAAAGCTATGTGATAGAATAAAACAATGCAGAATGCATAGCATGGAAGGATAAATATTGTTTTGGAAACATTTTGCAATATATGTAAATAAAAAGGTTCAGAACAGTCTTCCTCAAGGTATGCCACGTTGGCATGTACATGATTTTTTTTAATTTTTTAAAATTTTCTTTTTATTTAGGTATAGTTGGTATACAATATTAGTTTCAGGTGTAGAATATAGTGATTTGACAATATGATCACCACACCAAGTCTAGTAAACATCTATCACTGTGCAAATTTATCACAATATTATTAACTACATTTCTCTTCATCCTTTTCACCCATCCCTCCACCCCGCCATCACCCTCCCCTCTGGCAACCATCAACATGATCTCTGTTTCTATGAGTCTGTTTTTGGTTTGTTTGTTCATTTGTTTTTTTGTTGTTGTTGTTTTGTGTTTAGATTCCACATATATAAGTGAAACCATATGGTAGTTGTCTTTTTGTGACATGTGAATTATTTTTGGCTGAAGGCAATGGAGACCCTGCCAGTTCAGGAGAAACTTTTACCTCTCCCTTAAAGAATTCAAATTGGGGGTCTTGCCCATTATGAGTTATCAGAAATATAACCTATGATCTATATATAGAGAAGGGCGAACTTTGCCCTCCTTCTGAAGCCTCAAGCACCTTACCTCATCCATTGCTCAAAATGCCATAGATATCTCATTTTTCCTTTGTGTCTCTGAACCTCTCATGTATGTGGGTCTCTGACTCGCTCATGTGGAGTTCCTATTAATACGTATGTAATGAAATGTAGTTATTTTCTCTTGCTAATCTGTCTCATGTGGATTTAATTATTAGAGTAGCTGAAAGAACCTAGAAGGGTAGAGAAGTTTCTTTCTTGTCCACATAAAAATATACATAATGTATTTTTATAAATGTAACTGTAATACATATTATCAACAAATGAATGTGGTCACACATGCCTGGGTCTGTTTTTGTAAACCATTTCCTGCGGTGGGTCTTGGTCCAAAGTTTGAAAGCCCCTGAAACACAGGACCGGAAAGAATACTGGCAAGGTAAATTCAAGGTCAAACGCGAAAGCCCCTTTACTCTCCATTGGCCGCCCACAGAAGTAAAGGGAGGAAAAGGAAATGGTGTGTGAGGGAGGGGGCACCTGAGTGAGGTCAAGCGACAAGGAAGGGCGCATCCGGACAGGGAGGTGCTTTCTGCCCGGACAGTCAATTGAGGGAGGTCATTTTGAGCGCTTCCTTTAAATGCTAAATCGAAAGGACTTCCGCGTTCCTTGACCCTGAAAAGCCTACAAGGTGAGGGATTCTCCTTGCTTCTGGAGGTGACACTGCTTGAGGGTCATTCCTGTCGATTATTATTATTTTCCAGGGCGAGCAGCGGAGAGGGTGGGCGGAGCATGGGAAGCGCGGGAAGGCCGGGTCGGTCCAAAGAGCGATTTACCTCGTACTCTGCCCGGCCCTTCCGAGGAACACGCAGTTCTGCACTTTGGGACCATCCACAGGCAGTAAACCCAGGGCGCCCAGGGCGCGGGTGGGGTTGTGCCCTTGCCTAGGGCCAGTGGCCCGCCCTGCCAATGGGCGGCACCGGCCTCCGCCCCCCGGCCCTGCTGCAGGTTGGCTCGGGCGCTGGAGCGACGGGCCCCACGTGATCCACCGCGCGGGCCACCGCCCCCGCCGTTCCCAGGCCCCGCCCCGTGACGTCACAGAGTCCTCAGTCCGGACGTTCCGCGCCTTCTGCGCTCGCCGATTGGCTGGCCCGGCAGACAGCGCCCCTCCCGCCACGCCCCCGGAGTCCTGGGGAACGCTGTTGGGGCGGGCGCGGGCCGGAGGGGCGGAGTGAGCAGGCTCCACGCGCGTAAAGGGGCTGCCTGGTGCCGGGTCTGGTCGATTTGCGGTCACACGCTGCCTCGCCCTCCGGACTGGGTTCTGCGCCTCCTCCGCTGGCCGCCGTCACCCGGGAAACCAGTCGCGACCTCCAGCAGATCCGAAGCTGGTTTCATGGCAGCCGCGAAGAAAGCAGTTTTGGGGCCGTTGGTTGGGGCAGTGGACCAGGGCACCAGCTCGACGCGCTTTTTGGTGAGCCCCGGGGTGACATTTAAGGAGCTGAGCCGGCGCGGGAGCCCCGGGATGCCTGCATTGGTTGTAGCGTCCCCATCCCGGGGCTCCCGGCCTCTTGGCAAGGGAAGGAGGCCAAGGCCCCCTAAGCAGGACCTGCCACGCTGTAGCTGTCCCACGCGGACTTGGGGGACCTCGGCCTCTCGAGACCCTGGTGGCCGAACTGAGCAGCCCCCGCCTCGGTGGTGGAGCCGGGTCACCTCCTAATGGGGGAACTCCTCCAAAGGGATCTAGGAATTGCTGAGCATCCGTGCGGAGCTGCCCGCTTGCAGCCAGGGACAGGTGGTCACATGGACCGCTGCTGCGGTCTTCCCCGGAGCATTTGGCCTGTGGGGCGCAGGACGTCCTTGGATGGGGGGAAAGCTGTGTCACGGCTGTGATAGCCTAACACAACGTCCTTTGGAGCAGTAGAATAAATATAGTATTAGCGATGATGCATTGTCATCCTCTCCCACAGAAATTGTAGAAGGTACAATGCTCCGGGGGTGGGGTGGGGGGCGCAGAACATATTCGGAAAAATACAGTACTCTGTCTTTATCAATCGGAGACTCGCAAATTTCAGTTCTGATACTTTGCCTGTTACAGCCACTTCATGCTTCACAGCTTAAAGTGACAGGGAAATTCTGTTTCTCTTTTTATTTACCGTAACAGAGTGCTATTCAAGTGACTATTCCGCTAGGAATCTTGCTCTTAAAGTGATTTAGTACCGAGTTCAGTGAGATAATTTTAGAATAATTTAAATAAATGGTTGTTGGTTAAGAGCCCATGAATGCTTCAATGGATATTTGACTAACCTGGAAAGTTGATGTAAATATTTAATGATTATTTAGCTCCATCTTCACGACTTTACCTCAAATCATTTTTCATGAACCTTTTTTTTACTATACTATACATTATCATACAGTGTATATGTTGTTCCAAACTTCTGTTTAGCTGACCACTGACTAAAACCTTCACATGTGCCTTCATTTTGATACTCCTCTCTTGTCTACACTGGAAAGCTTTCAGTGCAATTTTAGTTTGAATCTTATTTCATGACTTACCCTAGTTTGTGCTGCCAAGGCATAGTTCTACAGTCTCTTACATTGTTTATCTTTTGATCACCCAGGGCAGGTTTCACTTTGTCTTATTTTCATAAATGTTTATATAGTAACCCTGAATCATAAGTAAGAAAGTCTGCCCAACTGGACTTGATTAATATATAAAATATATAATCATCAACTGTGTATTTAATCCTTACCTGAGGATATTTTTTCCATAGATTTCCACATCCCTACCACCAGAGAGGGGAAAGAAGGGGGGGGGGGGAGAGGAGAGAGAGAAACATCAATGTGAGAGAGACATTCATTGGTTGCCTCCTGCATGTGCCCCTGGGGGACAAACCTGCAACCAAGGTGTGCCCTTTGGCTGGAACTGAACCCTAACCTTTTGGTCTGCGTGCCAATGCTCTAACCATTGAGCAAACTGTCCAGGGCCATCATTGTGTTTAAAATGAAGAAAGACCATTAAGACACACATACTGAGTCATTTGTAGGTTGAGCTTTGAAGCCATACTCAAGGACTGCCCACACAAAATGCCTGCAGGGGCCAGGCAGGTAGAGGTTGGAGGGCCGACTGGAGAGAGCAGACCCAGGCCAAGGGGTTAGTCTATAGTTGCCAAACAGGAACCCAAGCCCAGTGTCGCCAGGTCTTCAGACTCTCAAAGAAAAGGTGGTCATCTCGAGTTTTCAGTGTAATCTTCCTATGGAATGTTGGCAGCTAGTTCATAAAGCACCGTGGGGGCTAAATAAACATGGGTGATTGCTTTCAAAGGCCATTGTCTTCCATGAATGCTTTTTAGAAGACAGCCTGACTATGCTTATCTTCCTTTGGACTCTTCGCTCTTGCTTTCCCTGTAGCCCAGCGATCTTTATCTACTGCAGTTTGTTCCTGGTCCCTCGGATTCTGTTGCCCAAGAGACATCTTTCTGCACTGGTGGGGAAGGAATACGTCAACTTCATATTCTCACAATCAGCTGTTCAGTATGTGACATGAATAACATGAGCCTTCGAAAGTCAGTTTCTGTTTATTGGGCTCTGTGTGGCATGATCTCAATTAACAAGCTAAGGTGCAAATTCAGGAGATACCCATCCTGCTTATAGGATGATGTGTGAAAGTGGACCAATAATGTTTTATGATTCCTGAGAAACAACTAAGAAAGAATTCTTCAGAGGTAGATAGAGGACTTAGAGATCCTGTGCAAAGTCAAAGACGGGGATGGTTATAAGGAAAGAGCTTGTTAAACCACTCCCTGCCAAATGCAGATAATAGATTTGCTGAATAAGTGCTTCAATCACAAGGTGATTCCCAGGAGTTCCAGTCATACTGTTCCATGTTGTAATTATGACTCAAAAATAATTGCTTAGTTTCTCACAAAGATTTCAGTGGATAAGAACTGTCATAAGGAAGCTTATAAAGTTAAAGGTATTTAAATAATTTCCCGGACATTTTTCATTCAATTTGCATATCCAGTTCAACTTTCACAAGACCAATAACCTGCTAGTGATGTTAACTCATGGTCTTTCATGCCATGGAAATGTCTCCTCCCCCATTCTCTATACCTTCTTAAAATTCTACTCTGCCTCCAAATTGTGGCTCAACTGCCTGCCATCCCTTAGATCAGTGGTTCTCAACCTGTGGGTCGCGACCCTTTCATAGGGGTCGCCTAAGACCATCAGAAAACACATATATAATTACATATTTTTTGTGATTAATCACTATGCTTTAATTATGTTCAATTTGTAACAATGAAAATACATCCTGCATATCAGATGTTTACATTACGATTCATAACAGTAGCAAAATTACAGTTATGAAGTAGCAATGAAAATAATTTTATAGTTGGGGGTCACCACAACATGAGGAACTGTATTAAAGGGTCGCGGCATTAGGAAGGTTGAGAACCACTGGTCTAGAGGGAACACTTTATACAGATTAACCTTTAATAAGTCAGCTGAATTTTAATTCTGGTTATCGTTTTTACCTAGTCTGAATTTCTTTTATTTTAGTAGTAGATCTGCAATTTTAAAATATTCTTTTCTTCCTCCAGTTATCAAAAGAATTACTCTTGGCAACCTATGAATGTGCTTTGTACTAAAGGAAAAATTTCCATCTTGTCCCATAGGAAAGCGAACTGCATTGGCACATGATTACTCAGATTGCCGAATAACAACTTCTTGGAAAGATAATTACTGTAACAGGTTTTAAGGAGGGGCCATTTCTTTATAAGACAAAAGTTGCAGCTTAAACAGTCAACTTCTCTCATTGGGTAACCTCGTTTTCCCCCCATTAAGTTGAATGTTAAAGAAAAAACAAAGGTTTAGAATGTGTTGTGATTTGAAATGTGTCCGGTACTTTATAGATGACTTTTCCAGCATTATCTCATTTAATCTTTATAACAACTGTGATGCTGGTAGTATTAGTAAGCTCCTTCCCACAGGTAATTAGACCGAGCTGGCGATGGTGCCCAAGGTTGCAGAGTAACTGGTGGAACTAGGATTCAAGTCCAGGTCTGTAGTACTCAGAAGCCTGTCCTCCTAACTCCTGCCTTGGCTCCCTGGCTGCCTGGAGTATGTTGAAGGGAAGATGAGGGGCTGGAAAAGGCCACATACCCACCTGTCACTCAAGTGTCAGTTCTGATTATGATCATAAATGAATCTTCACCAAAAAAATATACTTAGAGCTTAGTTTTGCAATATCTTAAAAATTTTTGCCTTTGAGTAAGTACTCCTGATTTGACCATCTTGTGACTCCCTGGGTCCTGGGCTGGGCTCGGGTGTAGTCACTGTGGATAATGGTTGCGTAACCATTTAGTTCCAATAGCCAGCATCTGCGAAGAATGACTAGAATTGTAGTTCCATGCTTGTTTTGGCAGGAAACACTGCCCTGGCCCCAGTTGTCTCATTATACTTAGAGACCTCATAAGGCTCAAGGATGTATTTCCGCCTTCTTTCTTTCATTTATTTATTCAATACATATTTATTAAGCACCCGTTAGGGGCCAGAGACTAATGAACAGTAAATTTGGTAAAAAACTAATTTGAGTCACAGCAGGAATGAGGCCACTCTTGTGATAACTAGAGCAGTGATTCTTTTGTGGGATCCCCCCCCCCCACTAAGTTGGTTTGCTTTCTCACCCATCACATTATACAAATGGCAAAAACATGTTCTCACCAGAGAGCTGCCACCCTCTTTTGTCCTCTTGTCTCTCACAAACAGAAGTGTCAGGAGCTTTCAATTTTGAGCTCCTTCAGGGACAGAATGGTGTATTTTATTCCTCCCCAAAGCCTAATACAGCATCTGGCATGTGGTCGGTGCTCATCACGTGAACAGACCTCAGCAGAGGGTCCTACAGGGCTCCATGGTGTTGATTAGAACTGGTTTGGAAGACGAGGAAGGAAAACCTTGTTGGGGTCTTGGAAAGAGGGAAATTTGGCAACTGTAGATGTATTAGATGTCTGTATAAGCTATTTGATACAATTTCATTTTGAAGAAAAATACAGTGCTGTTTGCTATGTTCTGTGGGCTTATTGGAATATGCCATTATGCCTTTTGTGAAATTTGCAATGTAACATATTTTTATCTTCAGTCATTCACATTTATGTAGTAGAGTGTCCTAAAGAGGAACTTTACATTCCTGAGAATTGTCTTATCACATAGTAGAGTTGAGTGTGGCGTAAAAGAGTAGGCTGATGGGGAAATGAATGTGCATGTTTATGATGGGAATGGCTGACATTTTACAATGAGCGAGGTGGGCCTAAAGGACAGTTACTGGGTAAGGACAGCATTTTGTGTCTCCACTACTCTTCTAAGACAGAGAAGACATGTGTTGTTTCAAAAAGTTCTTTTTAATAAGAATAACTTTGCTTCTTTCTTTAACAGTGTCTCAGTATTTTATCATATTTGGAAATGATCTGCATATTC